CAGGGTGGGGTATAGGTGGGCCAGTGACCCTCCACCCCAGCTCATGGGGAAGGAGGATGAGTGTGGGTGGCTGACGGGACAGCTGGGTGTTGCTGTGGTCCCAATGCTTTGTTCCTTCCGCAGATGGCAACGGGGGCCTGTACCGGGCCCTGGGGGCACATGGCATCGTGGACGATATGGAGCGGAGAGGCATGCAGAGCGTCCATGTCTACTGCGTGGACAACATCCTGGTGAAGGTGGCTGACCCCAGGTTCATTGGGTTCTGCCTGGAGAAGGGAGCAGACTGCGGGGCCAAGGTATGGTTTCAGGGGCAGGCAGGCAAGCACCGCTTCCCTGGAGCAGGGTGGGGTCTTTCCTGCTCCTTGGCTGGCTTCCCTGACTCCTCACCCTTCCTTCACTGGCTTCCTGCAGCCAGGAGGGATAGCTAAGCACCGGGAGCTTGCTGGTGAAGTAGCACGTGCTGCCTTGGGTCTGGCATCCCAGTGAATGTGGGGCATCACTGGCCCTGCCTGGCACTGCTCCCCTCCTGTCTTGCACGGGGACAAGGCACTAACAGCGCCAGGGCTCACAGGTCCCCCAATCCCTGGGGCCAAGAGCTGCTGGGGAGCCCCACTGCAGCTGATTGTTGACGCTGAGCCTAGCCCTGCGTCTCACGGGTAGGACATTGCACACCCGAAGCTTTACTTAAAGGCTGGATTAACAGCCAAAGGGACTGTGCAACTGTGTCCGTGTTTGCGTTGGGCTCGGCTCTGGCAAACAGGTGAGAGGGCTTGCTGGCCTTGAAGCTTTCCCTTGAGCTGGGTAAGCAAAAGCAGTTCCTCCTTCTGGTCTGAGTAAGAGAAGGAGGAAATAAACCCTAGCATGCGGAAAGGAGAAAGCTCCGCGTCCCTGCCCGCTGCCCTGCTGTGGTGGCAGTGATGGGTAGGGATTTGCTGGGGGGTCCTATGCCCAGAAGGCGTGTGGGGTGTAAGGAAGAGGAGGGAGGTCAGGTGTAGGGGGATGGCTCTGCTGAGCCAGCAACCTCCTGCTTGTGTACAGCAAGTTGGCTGTTCAAGTGCGGGCTGGGTGCTAAAAATATCCGTGCCCTCTGCCAGCCACTTGCAGGCTTGGTGCCAGATCCTGCCTGTGCCCTCTGGGTGTGCCTGACACCCTGTCACCCAGCCCTGCCATCTCACCCTTCTCCAGTCACCATCACCAGGAGCATCTGGGAGGGGAGGGCTCGGTTCCAGCATCCCTATCCCTGCACTATGCTTGCACCTGAAAACGCCTCCACGGGGGTTGCTAGATACAAGGGAGTGTATTTGAAGTGAAGGGCTTTGGGGGTCTTTCCCTGACAGTGCTCCCCTTGGGCAGGTGGTAGAGAAGACCAACCCCACGGAGCCGGTAGGCGTGGTGTGCCGAGTGGATGGCGTCTACCAGGTGGTGGAGTACAGCGAGATCTCCCTGGCCACTGCCCAGAAACGGGGCCCAGACGGGCGGCTGCTCTTCAACGCGGGCAACATTGCCAATCACTACTTCACCACTGCCTTCCTCAAAGACGTAGTCAAGTAAGGGCCTGCCTGGGTGCTGCCAGCATGCTGGAGGAGGAGCGCTGGTGCCCAGCGGAGCTGGCTGCCCGTCCACCTGCACCTTGCTTTCCTCTGGTTGAGCTCCAGCTGTTTGCAGATGTGCTGGGACGAGACTTGTGGGGTCTGGCCCCTGCATGCGTTCCCTGACACATGCCTCTCTGAACGGTCCCTTCCTTGAGATAAGGTTTCCCCCGACCGTCGCTGGCCGCTGGTGCCAGAGCGCAGGCGTGCGGGGCCATCCTCGCCTGGCTGCCGCGGGGATGAGCAGCCCACACCTCGGGGCGGCTGGGGGTCGGGCCAGAGCGACTGTCCTGCTGCAGCAGTGTCTGAGCCGCGGAGCTGGAGACGTGCCTTCTCGCTCGTGCAAATGACAGCTCTCTCTTGGCCTGTTGCAGCACTTATGAACCACAGCTGCAGCACCACGTAGCCGAGAAGAAGATCCCACACGTGGACATCACTACAGGGCAGCTGATCCAACCCGAGAAGCCTAACGGGATCAAGATGGAAAAGTTCGTCTTTGACATCTTCCAGTTTTCGAAGTACGTGCTTTTCTCTCTACGAGGAGCAAACTGCTGGCTCTCCCTCGGGCAGCTCTGAGACCCTCTGCGGGGGTGCCAGGGCTGTGCCCACCAGTGATGCCCAGGGTCAGGATGGGATGCCAGCTCCCATGCTGTTCAGCAGCAGTGGACAATTGTGCCCTGAGATGGAGAAGTGAGCAGCAGGAGGGACAGGCGCTGCGTGGCTCTTGCTCAGCTGAGCCCTGCTTCTGGGCCAGAGGAGCATTTCCTGACCCTACAGCTAGGTCCCCGCTCGCTCCTTCGTGGCTGTGAGGACAGCCCGTGGGTGTGGGCTGCAGGGGGGCCATGGCCCTGGCAGGGAAGAAGCCAAAGTGACAGAAAGCATCCATATTTCCCAAACCTGACCCTCCCGTGTCCTGTTTTCCCCCAGGAAGTTTGTGGTGTACGAGGTGCTGCGCGAGGATGAGTTTTCTCCCCTAAAGAACGCAGACAGCCAAAATGGCAAGGACAACCCCACCACAGCCCGACACGCCCTGATGTCCCTCCACCACTGCTGGGTTCTCAATGCAGGGGGACACTTTGTGGACGAAAACGGCACGCGTATCCCTGCCATCCCTCGGTGAGTTGCTGGTCCCAGTGCCCCTGCATCTGCTTTGGACTGGGTATAAAGCACCGGGCAGTCCCCAGCCCTTCTCCACTTCAGCGCTCCTGAAACCAGTGTGGGTCCCTTCTCCCGGGTTGTCCATGGGGCAGAGCCAGGTGCAGGCCGGGTGGTGGCTGCAGGAGGAGTGCTCGTTCTGTCAGGAGGAGCTTTTCTTGTTGATTAAACGCCTGTGAATCAAGTCCCAGATAGATCCTGCTGATCTCCATTGCACAGCCAAAGTTGCCCAGGCAGGGAGGAGGTGGCTCCCTAAAGCCCAAGCACACCAGCAGATCTGTGCAGCGGACAGGCTGGGGTCGCGGCATCCCTTGACCGAGAGACCTCCCACCACCCTCTTTGGAGAACAGCAAGCCCCAGACTTGTTCTACTCTGTTTTTTTCCCACCCTTGCTAATCCTTGTTTATTCCCACATAGTGTCACAAACGGAAGGTCAGATGCCACCCCAGCAGATGTCAATGACAAGTAACTATACCGTGCAGCGTGCATGGTGGCGGGGCTGTGCTTAGGTACTAACGGGCTGTAGGCGAAGCAGCGTGCCAGGCTGCGGTCGCCGCGATGGGTGCGTGCTGGTGAGCAGGCGCCCGTAGTGACTAACGGGGCCGGGGAGCTCGGGGCCGCATGCTGGGAGCGGGGCATGTCTCACCACAGGACCTGCGGACGCCGCTTCTCACGGTGGCGGGCAGTAGGCAGCGTCTGCTCCCTCCTGGGCGCCTTTCCGCAGAGGCAGCCGGCAGGGATAACTGGAAGGGGGGGGGATTGTGCCGTTGGTACAGATGCAGGGCAGCAAGCAGCCCCCAAAGGTCACCCCGCAGGCGGGATGCTGTTGGGAAACAACGCTGGCGTGTCCCTTCGGTGACACCCTCCTGTTCGTCACGCCATGGCGTAGCGCAGCCCAGACTGATCCCGGCTGGTCCCGTAGCTGGAGATGACTGCCGTTTCCCGGAGCCTGCCAGGCATCCAGGCAGATTGAAATGGGATTAAAAACGTTAAGTGAACGTCAAGCAGGCTTTGATGTAGCATGTGCAAATCTCAGCGTAGGCGGCCAGCTGTGCTTTGTGTGACTTCAGCTCTTGAGTTTTGCAGATCCAGACCGTGACACCAGGGAAAACCCCTGGCTTAGCGCTTGAAAGTTTACAGAAATAAACAGGGAAAGTTGACAGAAGCGTTAAAGCAACTTCTGTAATAGCAGCGTGTTCTTCTGTAGGCGCAGGGCGCATCTGTGCGGCTGCGACGTAGAGCTGGTGAATGTAAATGACTTGCAGACTAAGCGAGCTTGTTACCTTCCCCCCTTCAGCAGAAGTTGTATCTTCTGGTACTTTCTGGTGGGATACACCTAAGGTCTGGTTTTAATTCAAGACTCCAAGTGCTTTCAGACTTACAACTAGGCCATCGCGCTAGTCCTAACGTAGGATAAAGGATGCACTTTATCCTACATTTATCCTTCATTGCCCAGTAATGGCAATTCTGTCTATTTTTTTTTTTTTTTCAAAATGATTATCTTGAAATGAATCCAACTCTAAAGCAAACACAAGTGCAAGGGCTGGGTTAGGACGGGTGAGTTTTATTTACTCACAGCTGGGATGGGGGTGGCTGAGTGAGTGCGTGGCAGCAGGGACGAGCTTCAACCTGGGCGAAGGGAGCGTTGTCACAGATGACGTCCTGTGACGCCTGGCTGCGGTGGCGAGCGGGTGTGAAGGGGCACCCTGGGGTGCTGCCATCGTTCCTCGTCGGCTCCATACAGCTGCACCCCCCGGCCAGGCTTACACACCAGCTGAATCTGGGGAGCATCTGGGGTGTCCTACAAAGGCTGGTGGCAGCAGGAGCGGGGTCAGGGACACACACACACCCCACCACCCCCCATTCTCAGAGCCAGACTGCGGCAGGCAGCGCTGACGTGGGTCTGTGTTGTCCTCACCAGCTCAGGCTCACCTGCAGACCAGAGGAGCCGAGGCAGGAGGCAGCTGATCTAAGGCAAAGGCAGGAGGAGCAGGCAGCGCCGCAGGGAGCAAAAAAAAGCTTACCCCGTGTCCTCAGGTTGTGCTCCGAACAAGGCGTGTGTTTAAAGACCTGTTGTGACCAGCCAAGCAGGAAGGTGCTGTGAGTGCATCTCTCATCACCCCAAGGATGCAGGAGGAGGAAGAAGGGGTGACTAGCTTGCATGCAGCATCGAATACAGTGGGTCTGTGATCCAGGGAGGAGGCCGTAGGCGCTGCTGTAGTTGCACACGTGGAAAGGCACATAGATCCTCATTAAAGCCACATTTAAAGCTCTCTTCCCTTTCAGT